TAGTATTCTTGTAAAAAAAGTATAACATTCTAGCTGGAACGAACAGAATTGTTTATATTAAAGTATTGACTAATTTTCACTCACCTGTTTGACGGGAAATCTCGATTTACTACCATTTACCCTGACGGATATTCTGATGGTTATTTCTAAAGATAAGATAAAGATAAAGACGAGGGACGGTAGAAAAAGAAGGAGGCTGAGCGAGGGACAAGGGAGACAAGGGGAAGGACGGGAGGGAATGAAGTAGGAGTTTTGCACCCTACAGGCTATGGCGCTCTCCTAATTATAAGCATAGGTCTACTGATAACAATTTATATATTGCATAAATTTATGCTGAGATACCATCTAACCATATTAAGTGCATATTCATCACAAAATATAACTCCTCTCGTGAGATATTGCGCATGCGCTAACACACTAACGTAGCCAGATTGTGTACTGACTGGTATATGCAGCTGGCACCTTACATGCAAGGTCTTCTTCCAACATCTTAGGTGAGGTCGACTGATGGTATGTTATCATATAAATCTGTGCTAAGGTATCTCCTCTTCATTTTAAATGCATAATTTTTGCAAAATATTATTCTTCTCGGGAGATATTGCGCATGCGCGAGCTCCGTTTTAGGCGTGCAGCACGGACTGAAGAAAATTACATAAAAACGCTTGCTGAGGGAGAGAGGTGTGTGAGACTGAGGAAAGACGGCAAGGAAGACAGCTGACGGGCGGTAGAAGAAGGAGGCTGGGGGATGGACGATGGAGGTAAGGGGAAGGACGGGAGGAGGTGAAGCAGGAGTTCTGCACCCTCCAGGCTAGGGCGCTCTCCTAATCATAAACACAGTTCTACTGAAAACAATGTATAGCATAAATCTATGCTCAGATACATCCTAACTATATTAAATGCATATTCTTTACAAAATATAACTCCTCTGGTCAGATATTGCGCATGCGCTAACACACTAACGTAGCCAGATTGTGTACTGTCTGGTATATGCAGCGGGCATGCAAGGTCTCCTTCCTATTTCTTGAGAGAGGCTTACTGATGAAATGTTATCATGTAAATCTATGCTATAGGATATCTCCTCTCCATTTTAAATGCATAATTTCTGCAAAATATTAATCTTTTCGGGACATATTGCGCATGCGCGAGCACGGTTTCAGGCCTGCAGTCCCGACCGAAGAAAACTGCATAATATAGCTGAGAGAGAGAGGCGGAGAGAGAGACCGAGGAAGGCGGCAGTGATTCGTTATTGATGTCAGGAACTGCGAGTAATTGAACTTCGTTACACGCTTTGGTGGCATAATCCATACGCTTAGCAAACTTGATGCATTAATTTTACTACTTTATTTTGTAATTTAACAGTAGGGTTTATTATAATACTGATTTGGAAGCTGATCCGCAGGTGAGGATCGCATATTGCGAATAGGGATAGGCAAGCGCATAATAAATAGAAGTTAGAGTGTTAGTAGTATGCACAGGAACTTGGAGCGTTTCAATAAAATATAATGCTAAATAAATACGAAATCTATTTACTACCAAACTCTACTCTCAACTATCAATCTCTACTCTCTTTCGCCTATTATTGCCGACAATTTCTTGTAAATTCCGTGCAAATGCTCCTCTGCAATACTACTGTACACCGCACGCACGTACGCTGCCGCAAACTGACACATAAATAATATATAGTGCTTCTGCTGTGTCATGTAGTAACATTAATAGCGAATAAAAGTAATCACATATTCCTTACTCCCCTCTCGCGGATGGTATCGCCCACGACCAGTCAAGCATGACAACTTTTGCCTGTAAATGGTCCGTATTTAGCCGAAACATTTTCACTCCCCGATGCACACATGTGAATTTACGCATATAAACGCGCCAGCGTGCGTGCGACCACCCCGCGCGTGTGCGCGTCCGTTTAATGTGTGTGGAATGTGTGTTTTGTGTGACTGTAAAACCGCGGTATTACTATCCGTATAATCATATTGTGCTTTGGAGGGTGAAAAAGTTCAGGCTGAAACCCGCGATTTGACGTGACATATCTTTCCCGTGCAAACTGATGCGCGTGGGCGATACCATTGTGGGAGATGGGGGATCACCTATTCCCGAGAGAGAATATACCGATAGGATTTATATTAAGTGCACTATATACATAGATAATCTATCGATGCAGTATAGATGTAGAGAATATGATAGCTATACCAGATATTGAATGAAAATGAGTACTATTTGTATTTTTTCTTGGTTTTTCGGTGGATGGTTTTGATGTCTATTAGTACATTTATTAGCTGTAGTACTCCGTACATTGTTTCATAACAAATAATGTGAAGTATTTTTGTCAGACTGTTCAATAAACATATCAGCGACTGTTTTTTCAGCAATATCTGTGACAAGTAGTTCTAATAATACTTGTTTGAGCTGTGAAATTAAAAATATTCTTCAGCCTGCCCACCCACCTAATGGCTCATATTCTCCTTGCCCAAATCTTTACAAATAATTTTACATTTAATCGCAAAATTCACAGCAGAAGTATTTGCTTAAACTAAAGTTTTTTCCCTGCTTTTAGTTCATTGGTGGCATGGGCGGGATCCGTAAACTAATGCGGATTTTACAATTATTTTTTTTTTATTAGCTACCAGTGTGTATTTTGGTGTATATGTGGATTTTCAGGGGAAAGGCAGTTGTTAATGTCCATGTGATCTATCTCTCTCCTTTTCGTATTTTTTACAATTGGCGTAGATGAATGGCTTATAACTCTGTAACCTTACTCTTACGAGTCGCAGATTTCGATGATCCTGTCAGGTCTTCGCCAATTATGTACTGTAACATGTTATTCTTCAATATATATGCCGTTATGTTATACTAAAATACTAATTATGCACAAATAACTATTTTTAAACTTGAATTTTAAATTGGAATGAAAATCGAACGTAGGCAACCATTTTTGAAGCCCCGGGGGCAGGAGCAAGATGGCGACCTCCGAATTCTATAAGACAAAAAGCGAAACCTAGAAAAACATTTCTACTGAACATCGTATATTTTCACCGTTTAATTTCCTCGTTCCATCGATCGATCGCAATATACATACAACCAGGAGAACATCGCTTTCGACGACGACCTCTCTAACATCTTCTTGATACAACAATGATAAGATACACTCGTAGCGATTCAATTAATACACCATCAAATGCTACGCATCATAATCAACACGCATTCATCTCCCACACGCGTGCGAATCGCATATTTCCACCGGAAAGCAAAAGCGAATTGTAACGAAACAGCGGTGCGAAATAAATGCAGTCGACCCTGCATATAAGGGTTGCTGAAGGAGAGCCGTCCTTTATAGACAGGTGCAAGGGCGTGTACAGGATTTGTACCAGGGGGGGTCTAACCATAACTCAAACTTGCAAGCACGCGAAGGGGGGGTCTGGGGGGCCCTCCCCCAAATTTTTTTTGAAATTAGACACCCTTAGATGCGTTTTCTGCGCGAGCAGGGGGGGTCCGGACCCCCTGGACCCCCCCCTGTACACGCCCCTGAGGTGTCGGTTCTGCAGCGGTGGTTTTGCTGTGTAACCACCACTCGAGGAAAAACACAGAAATTGTCCTTTATAGACACTAGACAGGTATCTGCTGTGTAAAGCCGACCGCTAACGCAGACTCGACTGCACATACATAGATAGACACAATCAAAACGCCCTCCACTCGTAAAGTCACACAAGACACGACACGCAACACGTCGCATCAGCCAATCGCGTCGCGACGCCCGCCGAGCGCGAAAGGTCAAAGGTCATAGTTCCCGAGTCACGGGTAATTTACTAGGGGGCCGTGCGTCAGGGGTCACGGAGTCAGCGTGTCGGGGAGTCATGTGTCACATGTCACAAGGTTGCGTGTCACAGGGTCAGAGGTCACATGTCAGGGGGTCAGGGGTCGTGTGTCACGGGGTCAGAGGTCAGGGGTCGTGTGTCACAGGGTCAGAGGTCAGGGGTCACTCGCCGCAATGCTATCACAGCGTGCGGAGCTGGTAGTCGCCGTTCTGTGTGATGTAGCGCACCCACGGCAGCGCCTGATAGCCACTCTTCTCTATGATCTTCAGGTATCTCACCTGAAACAAACCAACGTGGAGCTCGTTAACACCTGTCTCACCTTGCAGTGATAAACAGAGACAGCGACAGGTGTATCTCACCTGTGACAAACGATCAAACGAATTAACAGGTACCTCCACGCACCTGTGACCGACAAACGGACATCTCGACGTACACACCCACGCACGCACGCACGCAATCACACGCTCACGCGCATGCACACGCACGCACACACCACGCACACGCTCACGTCGCACGCGACGCACACGCACACGATCAACTGGACGATCAGGAAACGAGTGATTGAGTACGGTCATGCAGAAACTGCTGCACGGTTGACACGGCAACACAGTAACAGACGCAGCCGTCGCCACACCTGCGCTCCCACACGTGGCGAGCGCGTTTACCCTTGTCCAGCATGACGACCGTACAGGTGTGTGGCGAGGTTACGCGTCTCGCAGCGTGACGACCGTACAGGTGGGCGAGGTTACCTGTCCCGGCGTGACAACCGTAAACAGGTGTGCGAGGTTACCTGTCCAGCGTGACAACCGTACAAGGTGTGCGAGGTTACCTGTCGTCAGCGTGACGACCGTACAGGTGTGCGAGAGTTAACCTGTCCAGCGTGCCGACTCGTATAGGTGTGCAAGGGTTACCTGTCCTAGCGTGCACGACCGTACAGGTGTGCGAGGTTACCTGTCCCTAGCGTGACGACGCGTACAGGTTGTGGCGAGGATTACCCGTCCAGCCGTGACGACCGGTACAGGTGTGGCGAGATTTACCCTTGTCCAGGCGGACGACTGTACAGGTGTGCGGGTTACCTGTCCAGCGTGAGGGGGGGGGGGGCGAACCGTACAGGTGTGCGAGGTTACCTGTCCAGCGTACAGGTGTGCGAGGTTACCTGTCGCAGCGTGACAACCGTAACAGGTTGGTGCGGAGGTTACGCTGTCAGCGTGGACGACCGTACCAGGTGTGCCGAGGTTTACTGTCGGCAGCGCTGGTGACGACCGTAACAGGTGTGGCGACGGTTACCTGTCCAGCGTGGCACGTACCGTGTGATGCCGGAGGTCGTGAAGTAAAGGGGATCTCGAGAAATTAAACGGTGTATTCCGGCGGCTGTTTCCGCTCCATCTGCTCTGGCGATGGACGCTGGGCAAGCGCGAAGTGAGCACATGCATCAGATAGTTCCTTACCTCCTGCGTGCACAAACCACGTTCATTACTGATAGAGAGGAGAGTAGGGAGCAGTACGAGAAGAGAGGAGGAAGGAGAGGAGAGAGGAAGAAGACGAGAGGAAAAAGGAAGGGGGCAGGAAGGAAGGGTGCCAGCTAGCGCAAGCTCCAAAGTGAGCACGCATCAGATATTCCTACCTCCCCTGCGTGCACAAACCACGGCAATTTTAAAATGAAAGAGAGGGCAAGAGGAGAGAGGAGGAAGGAGAGAGGAGAGAGGGAGAGGCAGAGAAAGAAGCGTGCAGCCTAGGTCAAGCCAAAGTGAGCACGCATCAGTTACCTCCGCTCCGTGCAACAAACCAACGGTCATTAATGATAGAGAGGGAGAGAGGGAGAAGTAAGAAAGGAGAAGAGGAGGCAAGGAGAGGAGAGAGGATAGAGGCGAGGGAGGAAGAAAGAAGGGGTCAGGAAGGGAAAGGCCGCAGCTGGCAAGCCGAAGTGAGCACGCATCAAATATTTTCCTGCTGCCCTGTGTGCACAAAATCAGCCATCATTAACCCAGACAGAGTGCACTCACGAGCGAGAGTGCATACCTCCGCCAGCGACATACGCCATACGACTCGCGAATCGACACGAATTAACCCCACGGATATACGCCAGCGTAACTTGACCATGTACACCGCTGGCTTGACTAGGCTTGCTGCTTCAGGCTTCGCTCGTAGCAGGCCGGCTCGTTGCTGGGCTGCTCGCTCACATGTAGCACGCTCGCTGGCTTGCCTGAATGAATCGTGGCTGCGCTGGGTGATGATCGCATTCGCACCGGCCAACGACAATACGCCATACGCCGCGCTGGCCGACCTCGCTGGCCTGGCTGGCTGGCTAATATCGATTCGCTGCGAACACACAACACCACGAACACACGAGGAGCGAATACATAACCTCCTGCCAAACTCCGTTGCGGCGGAGGTAGTGATAAAGAGAGAGGAGGGAGGGGAGAGGACGAGAAGAAGATGGCAATCTAGGCACATAGCCAACGCGAAGTAAAGGGTAATGGGGGAAGGCATGCGGGTGAGAGGGCAAGAGAGCGGGTGAGGGGTTTTTGGGGCCATGCGGAAGAAGGAAAAGGAAGCAGTGGGAGACTCACCGGGAAAGACTTGATGCTCCAGATCGCAGAGTTTTGCTCCGGCACGTATTTCACACTGCCCACCGTCGTCTTGAACTTCGGCGAATCGGCGTCCATCGGTAGACCGGTATTAATTATCTCTACGTTGTTGCGCGTGGATCGACGCTTAAATGACTCTTAGCCTTAGAGAGAGATAGAGACGAGAGAGAGCAGAGGAGGAATTAGTACTGCACAAGAAGGCGAGGGGAAGGGAGGGGAGAGGAAGGGAGGGAGGGGGTCCATCGGTCTACGGTATAAGTTATCTCTACGTGTGTTGCCGTGGACATCGCGCTTAAAACTGACTCTTAGCCTAGAGAGAGAGAGAGAGAGAGAGAATTAGTACCATGGCACAGAGAGGGGAGGGGAAGGGAGGGAGAGGAAGGGAGGGAGGGGTCCTATCGGCACGCGCGTGGGTACGGTAAATTATCGTCATCTACGTTGTTGGCCGTGGATCGACGCTCTTAAAACTCGAACTCTTAGCCTAGAGAGAGCAGAGACGAAGAGAGAGAGGATTAGTACAGCACAGAGACGGGAGAGGAAGGGAGGGAGGGGTCATCGGTACCGGTATAATTATCTCTACGTTGTTGGCCGTGGATCGACGCTTAAACTGACTCTTAGCCTAGAGAGATAGAGAGAGAGAGAGAGAGGATTAGTACATGCACAGAGAGGGAGGGGAAGGGAGGGAGAGGAAGGGAGGGAGGGGTCCATCGGCACGGGTATAATTATCTCTACGTTGTTGGCCGTGGATCGACGCTTAAACTGACTCTTAGCCTAGAGAGAGAGAGAGAGAGAGAGAGGATGAGTAGCATGCACACCCGAGCCAGCGGAGCGGCGCAAGCGAGGGAGAGCTAAGGGAGGGAGCGGCTCCATCGGCCACGGGCCTATAATTATCTCCTACGTTAGTTGGCGCCCGGTGGATCGACCTCGTTAGAACTGACTCTTAGTAAGAGAGAGAGCACCGCAGAGAGACGCAGAGAGCGACAAGGAGAGAGAGAGGATTAGTACCATGCACAGACGAGACGAGCCAGAAGAGAGAGAACGGACAAGGGGAGAAGGGAGAACGGACGAAGCGGAGGAGAGAATAGATATGAGTAAAGAGAAAGAGAGACCAGAGCGAGGAGATAGAGATCGAGAACGGAGAAGCTAGCCAAGCATATGAGAGAGAAAGAGGCAAGAATGAACAGACCAGACAGGAGAAGAGAGCAGCGCGCGAGAGAGAGACGAAGAGGTACGGAGAGGAGTGAGAACGAGGAGAGAAGAGAGACAGAGTTAGACAGACAGAGAGCAGGGGCGTAACAGGAGAGAGGAAGAGAGAACCGAGGAGCAGAAAGAGACACAGAGAGAGATTAGAGAGAGCTAGATACATAGATGAGAGCTGACGAGACCAAGAATGACAAGAGAGACAGAGAGAGTCGAGAGAGAGGGTGAGCGAGAGAGAGAGACGAGAGAGAGACGAGGAGAGAAGAGAGAGACGAGATGAGAGGATGAGAGGAGAGAGAGAGAGAGAGGAGAGAGAGGAGAAGACGGAGGAGAGAGAGCAAGAGCAGAGGACTAGCGTAGAAGAAGCGAGAGACTAGAGAGATTGAGAGAGAGATGGAAATCCTACCTTGATCATGTATTCCCACGCGACTGTGGGCGTGTCTCAATCACCGACGTCGAATCCATATCAGTGGCTTCACCTGTCAAAACATCTCGCATTCTAAAACTCTTTCACAACATCACACACCGGAGAGCGCCACCAATTCACATCAATGGCCTACTGGCTTCTATTATATTATATATACATGTTATCAGGGTTCAAATAATAACAATTTGTCATTCATTATCCACTACCTGGCTATATATAATAATACGTATTATGCTTCATTATATATACATATATATAAATATAATATATATATATATATATATATATTCAATATAAATATATATATATATATATATATTATATTATTATATACAATACATTACGGGCTGCAGTCTATCACGCAATCTCTCATCACAGGTAACAACGCTAACACAGCCACACCTGTACACAAGGGCTAGCGTCACTAATGTGAATAGTGGTTGTCCTTTATAGACAGGTGTCCGTTCTATAGGGATATTTTCACCGTACAACTGCCGCTCGAATAAAAAACCAAAATTATTTTTTACGGTCGCACGTCCGCTTCGTAAACAGAAAAATCCGTTTCTTCCACATCTTCCGCAATCGTACAGATTCTACCGCTCCACGACACGCTAGACAGGTGGCGCTGCTCGCCCTGCGCGTGCCGCCAGGGGGCGCCGCACTCACGTGCGTGTTCAGACGGTAGGACATGAGTTCGAACTCTCCGTCGGGCGGGATGAACGAGATTGTTCTGTCGTTCTCGAACCGCGACAGCCGCACACACTGATGGAACTTTGTGTCTTCCAGCTCGACCGACTTGCTCTTGCCTCCTGCAATAAGTGATATCGGAAAGTCAAGCTGTGTTATTTAGGTCATAGAAAAAGGGGGATAAAATGGCCGAGGCGCGCTTAGGAAAGTACATGATTAACGTAAACACTCGTGCGTTTTTTGTTTTTGCATTAACACAGACATTGCAAAATATCCCAAATGACCACAATCATATTCAGGGTTCATAGTAGTAAGACACATGTTGAAATAAGGATTTATAAGACCCTTTCTGGAGGCCAAAATAAGACTTTTTACGATTTCTGATAGATCACCGACTATTAAAGTACACTAATAATATTTATATACACAATTGCACAGAAAATAAGGACTATTAAGTACTTTTCTAAGATTTCACAAAAATATAAGCATACCTAATAGGGGGGGGGCCCTTATTTTATTTTTCGCGCACAAATAAGTACTTATAAGAACTTTGGAAGACGCCGCTTACAAACCCTATATTTGTAAATGTTTCTGGAACACAGAAAACGCACCTGTGAATTGAAGTACGATCTTTAGTGAAAAGAGAATATAGATTCAAAACCTAGGACTGAGATCTATCGTTCATAACTTTTGTATATATTAGGCAACGTATCACCCCCTTATCTGCATCTCAATATGGGCGGCAGGGACTTCCGATATGGCTTATACACTAAGGACGCCTGACTTTGGGAAAAACCAATAATCTATATTCTTAGGTAGCGCAGCCGCGCGGTCGCCTAGCTCAGAATACAGAGGGACTCGTGGCTATATACGCAGTGGCAGTACGCGAGAGTGACAGCCGACAAGACACATAACTTGGCTCATGTTGGGTGGGGTTGTTTTTGTAATAGCCCCTACCTAGTCAAGATATCTATTCTAATCTTTTTCATTCTGTTCTTTTCCATTCTGTTATATTCTATTCTGTTCTGTTCTGTTCAATTCTGTTCCAATTTTCATTCCAAATTCTGTTCTGTTCTGCATCACAGACAAATTTCATTCATTATATGTATATTCCATTTTATTTTTGATTTTATGTTATTTTACGCGTATGCCTATCGCTATGCCTACGCTACGCTTAGCGCTACGCTACGCTACGCTACGCTCGCTATGCTTACGCTATCACTATGCTACACTACGCCTACGCTATGCTATGTTACGCCACGTCTATATCTATGGTCTGTGTATCTTGGCTTCTATACTCACGGCCCAGCGCTCTTCCTGTTCGCTACGCTATGCTACGCATACGCTATGTGCTATTGCTTACGCTCACACTAATGCCTACACTACACTACGCCTATGCTATGTTACGGCCCGTTCTACAGTCGTTATGTCTGTGTCGTTTGTTCTATACTCACGGCCAGGTAGCGTTGCTTGACGCTGCGCTAGGGTTCTATGTAACGCACCTATCTAAGTACCTACGGCTATGTATACGCACCACATTCTATGCCAGCGACGACTGGAGTTGAAGTAGTCTGTGTTCGTTGCGTTCTATACTCAGGCCGGTGCTTCCTGTTACGCTTACGTATCATATGCCTATGCTTACGCTAACACATATGCTACGCTACGCCCACGCCACGTATACATCTATAGATCTGTAGTCGTTGTTCCACTAATACTCCACGGCGGTAGCTTTTCCTGTTACCCTACGCTATGCTATGATAGTTGTCTACGTGCTAATGCTATGCTATGCTATGCTATGACTACGCCTACCACTTATTGCTTACACTACAACTACGCCTACAGGCTATGTTACGTCAACGTCTACATCTTCATGTCTGTGTTCGTTGGTTCTATTACTCACAGCCGGTGCTTTCCTGTTTACGCTACGCTATTGCTCACGCTTACACTAGCCTGCGTATCTCTGCTATGCTATGCTACACTATTGCTACACTACGCTAACACCTATACATGGATCTGCATAATGCTATGCCTACACTATGCATACACTACGCTACACTATGGCATGCTATTGCCTATGACTATGCTACACTATGCTTACCAACATACGACTATGCCGTTTATGCCAATGCTCATGTATGCCTATGCTCACTATGATACTACGCTATGTTATTGCCACGTCTACATCCGTGTCGGTTGGATTCTATACTCACGGCCGGTGCTTTCGAACAAGACCTTGTCATTAGAGGCCCAGAACAGTAGTTCCGGCATTACAGCTCAGGAACACGCGCACTCTTGATGCAGACCAACCGATCTCGCTGGAAGACACATTGCCGTTTGCCGTTCGCCTGCAAGCGAACAACGACAGACAACGATCACCAGCAAGAACAACGATTCACCCCAACAAACAAAAGAACAAGGTGATTATTGTAATGAGCAAAGACGCAACAACACGATCACCAGCTCCGACGACACGAATTGACGAACAGTGATTATTGTTAATGAAACAAGAACGAACAACGATCACCGCCGGAAAACTGAACGAATGACGAACAGTGATTATTGTAGAACAAGACGAACAACGATCACCGGACGAACGGAATGACAACAGTGATTATTGTAATGAAACTAAAGACGGAACAACGATCACCGCGACGAACGAATGACGAACAGTGATTATTGTAATGAACAAAGACGAACAACGATCACCGCGACGAACGAAAGACAAACAGTGATTATTGTAATGAACAAAGACGAACAACGATCCACCGACGTCACGAACGAAAGAACAAACTGATGATTATTGTAATTTGAACAAAGCGAACAACGATCACCGCGAACGAATCGACAAGACGACAGTGATTATTCGTATATGGAACAATAGACGAAACACACGCGTTATTGCAACAAACAATAGCGAACAACAGCTACTGCGACGAACAACGAACACGCGGAACAAACTCCTCACCAGCAGGTTCACGGATTCGATGACGTCAAGGAACACTTCGTTCTTCCTGTACTTGATTCCTTCGGAACAGCCAATGACACCGGCTGTTTCTGTGACCGCCATCGGCGGCCGCGGCTGTATCTCCAGCTTGTGCCCTTCCTGTGTGATATACCTACACACGGGGACAGATAATATCAAGAGCTAATAAATACAATACTGAGTGTTACAACGGGAAAATATGTGCTTATTGTTCACGGCAATACTTTATTTCTTCTATTGTAATGCGGTTCTAAGACTAAGTTCATTGGGTATTGCCGTTAAAAGCGCAATTCATTTGCTCTCTAATAAGACAAACGCTTGTCTCTACGAGCTACTCTAGTGATTGGAGCGTGAATCATGCCTCCCACAGGCCTCACGTGCCGCACTACGCATCCACAATATATCACTATCACGCTCTCGCCTTTTGCAGAGTCTGGCTATCGGCTTTCCGTCGCGCTTGGGAGCTGCTGATAATATGATGTCACCATGCCCAAAATTGGTACTCTTACTACAACCATATAGTAACTTGGCAGCTGCCCGATTCGTTAAGAAGACATATAATTCATAGGAAAACATTGCCGGACCTCCATAATGAACGCGGGCATTAGCCGTGCATAAGAAAGGATAATGGGAGATAAGGGCAGTAGGCGAATGACCCCTGAACACGTGAACCGGATTGATAACCCGAAATCCGCCGTTCATTCGTAAAGTTTATCAGCGGAAAACACGAACCTCAAACGAAGCGACTTATTCTATACCTCCGCAAAAGGCGAGAAAGGACTAGTGAATATTGTGGATGCGATGGCAGGCCCGGTTTGAAGGCCATGTGGAGAGTGGGAAGTTTACAGCATATACATTAAAAAATATATTCTATACTCGCAGCGCAAAGTGACGAAATAATACTTGCCCGTGAATAGGCACTATTTCCCGTTGCCCTCTCTATTCGGTTATCCTCGAGTATCTGCTCTCGTCTGGCTCTCTCTCTCTCTCTCGCGCTCTCTCCTTCCTCTCTCTCTCTCTCTCTCTCCTTCTGCTCTCTCTATCTCTCGCTAATTCGCTATCGCCTGATCTCTTATCTTATCTCTATCTCTATCTCTATCTCTACTCTCTATCTCTCGCGTCTCCGCTATCCGCATATCGCTATCGTATTCTCTATCTCTATCTCTCTCTCTCGGCTCTCTGCTATCGCCTATCCGCTATCGCTATCTCTATCTCTATCTCTATCTCTATCGTCTATCTTCTCTCTATCTCTCTCTCTTCTCTGCTCTCTCTCTCTCTCTCTCTCTCTCTCTCTCTCTCTCTTCCTCTCTCATATGCTCTACTCTTCTCTCTCTCGCTCTCTCTCTCTCTCTCTCTCTCTCTCTCTCTCTCCTCTCTCTCTCTCTGTTGTTTCCCTCTCTAATCTCTCTTTCTCTGCTCTGCTGTTTATCTCTCTCTGTTCTCTCTCCACTATATATATAATCAATATATATACATATATGGAGGATAGTAATAGCTATATACTTATATATTATGTTGTGTGTGTGTGTGTGTGCATGCATGTGCTGCGTGCGTGGTGTTTAGCTCACTCGCTCCAGGATAGGATCTTGCTGTCGGTTGTCTGCGGGTTTCCGAAGTCGACAAGCTCATCCAGGATCTCGTAGATAAGAACAAAGTTGTCGCGGATGCTCTCTTCTTCCAGCTCCTTGAAATACTCGATGAACACCTGCCGGGAAATGCAGTCTCAAGTCGCAAGATTCAAAAATTCAAAAATTCCAAATTCACCAAATCGGACGCGTAATTTATACATACATATCTAATACAATACTTAATTAATTTATAATTACTAATTAATGTAATACGGACAGCTGGTAAACTCGAGAAATGCCTTTATAGTCGCAAAATTCAAAAATTCAAAATTCACCAAATCGGACGTGTAATCTTATACATATCAAGAGTCAATAATAGCGATCTATTATGGAGTCTTGATACGGACTATTATGGACTCCTGATACGTATATCTATAAAACGGATAGCTGGTTAACTCGAGAAATGCCTTTCTAGTCGCAAAACTTTGCTCTAAATCGCAGCGCGACTTGGTTATGCATCTTTTCAGGTATTAATTCGTGCCCGATGTAGCCCGTGTGCTGCCGATAGCAAGAACGCGCGCGGAAATTATCTCCCCCTAGGTGGACGGACACACCTCCAGATTACTATTATCAGAGTGATTACACGATAAAAAGTTGATCAACTCGCTGACCGAAAGTCGAGAAATTAGAACAGGTTCTATTCTCACTAGTATTAGTTGACACCAGCAAGGTCAACTTTTACGGTTACACCGCCAAATTTTGGTCGAATAGCTGAGAAGTTTATCAACTCGTCAACTGTACAACTAAAAGTTGACAACTAAAAGTTGATAGTGAAAAACCAGCTTAACATGGATGGATAGTGAGTAAACTCAGAAGTCACAAACATAGATAATATTTTGTCATCCACCGCATGTCGGCTTTTCGCGAGAAACGGAATTAACCTCAAACAACACGCGTGAGATTCCGGGGCCAGCTGGCGCCACCTGGCGGACAGCAAGTGGGAGCCAGCGGTGGCGCCGCCTGGTGGACGGCACATTCCTTACCTGTACGATCTTGTGGAGAAGCGTGAACACCAGGGCGGCGTTGGCGTTCTTACGCGACACGGCCACGACTGACGACGGCGTTAAGGCGCAAATCGGAACTCGGCGACCCCTGCACGACCCCACTTGACCTCGTCTGACCCCTGAACGACCTCTCAGTTGACCTCTGAATGACCCAAGTTTGATGCTTTCCCACATGGGAACCGTGTGTGCGAAACGGCCAGATGAAAGCTCGCACCAGAAAAAAAGACTTCAAATATCAATTTAAAAATGAG